GTTAAACTCAGAGGTATGAACTGAATTTTAAATCCGGTACATAACGATACAATTATCTTTCAGATTTGGTTGTAATCAGATTTGAAAGAAGTCTGTCTTACTTTTATAAATGAACATTAGACTATTAATTGTAAATTAACAATATGATGTTTTGGATTTTATTTAAAAGCAGATTGTCTCTGCTTATCATGGTCCACATGCACAGCTCATAGTAAACAACACTCACTGTAGATAGTTATGCAATCTGTGCTCCTTATTTACTATTTAAAACGGGCTAGCTCTTATTATTACACCAACATAATATCAGTAAACATATATTCATGTCATGTATTTACGAGCTGTTGTTGTTGTACATTTTATCTGGACCAAGAGAGACTCATTCTTCTGATATAAACACTGTTATTTGAAGCATGAAAGCCCTGCCTGCAGACATTCTGCTCACTCGCCTCCTCCTTCCTTTTTTCTCTTTCTTAGTACGGTTTGAAATCCATGCTGGAGTCAGAGGAGGGAATTCCTCTGCTGGTCAGAGCCATCAACCCCAGGGTGCCTCACATGATGGTGGATGCTGTCAAGCTGCTCTCTGCCATTTCCATTTTGGAACATCCTGAGAACCTGTAAGCATTAGTGACAGGTTGATGCAATGCCATGTAATAAGTTGCCCTCAGAAATTATGCCCAAACCTTCCCCACACAAATCAAATATGAAGTGTTGCCCCAGTTTACAGTCTTGACCAGTTCTGTTGGGTAACAACTCAGAATTGTGTTTGGCGACCAATATTTTACATGTGTATTTTTTAAATGTAGCTACATGCAGTAACATTTTTAAATTACTGTCTATCTTTGCAGCCATGAACGTGTTTTGGAAGCCATTACAGAAGAGGCTGAGAAACGGGATATTGAGAGGTTTCAGCCTCTCATCGCAGGCATGAACATTCAGAACATTGCTCTTAAGGTATATACTGTACACAGATGCACCCACATACTTAATAATTATAAATCCTGTGATGGATGATGATGCTATTTAAAACTGGTATGTTATGTTGTGTTACAGTTATCGTCTCACCTCAGTTAGCATGAAAACTGACTAAATGATTTTTTTTGTACAGGGTGGCTGCATGCAGCTAATAAATGCCTTGATCAGCCGAGGAGAGGAGTTGGACTTCAGGATCCATATTCGCTCGGAGCTACTTAGACTTGGACTCAGAGAATTGCTGACGGTACAGAAAACACTCTTTTGATCTTTTCTCAAAGTGACTCTCCAACAACACACATTTGCACAGCGTTGTACTTATACCTCCCTCACTCCTGATGCCTGTGTCTTGCTGACTGGCTGAACACTTGTACGCTGTAAGAAACTTTCTCTCAACTATCCAAACTCAGTGTTTGATTGTCACACTCTTCCTGTTATTCTCCCTCTTGCCTTTTTATCCCTCTGCCTGCATCCCATCCCTCTCCCCGCAGGAGGTGCGGACGATAGAAAATGAAGAGCTGAGGGTGCAACTTACGGTGTTTGATGAGCAGGCTGAGGATGACTCTGAGGACCTCAAAGCACGTCTTGATGACATCCGCATCGAGATGGAATATCCTTCCACTGGGAAAAATTGTCCCTCTGTAGAAATTCAAAGTCTTCTTTCTGACTCTTGTGAGAAGCATCAGCCTGACAAAATCTATAACTTGGGTGCATCGTATTTTTGCATAGTCATCATTGTGTTTAAATTACATTGCTAATGTGATAAGTGAGAGGAATAACCACCATCCAATTTGTTTTTCACATTGAAAAACATATACGCATGATTCAGACAGATAGTGTGTAGAATCCATAAAATGAGGCACAAAAGTTTGCTCCTTTCTTCCCCTCTATAATCAGCCTGACCACTTTTCTTCACAGAGAGAAGAACATTTAATATTTGCATACTTAATAAGAATATGCTTGCAGGCCCTCGGGACACTGTACACCCTCTGTAGACTTTTTACTTTCAAAATTCATCTTGGCCAATTAGTATCTCAAAGACATTAGCTGCTGTAGTGCTGTTAAGACAGCAAAAACATCCCACTACCGGTAAACACTGCTCTGTTACATCTCCAAATGATCCCATTTCACTATAAATACATATAAGTGTCAGTCCAGTGCCGTACACAACAGCAATTTAAGTTGATTATCTAAGTATTGATTTCTATTGTATATTATTTGATGATCTATGCTACTACACTTTGATATCATTGTGAATACATGCATGACTACTTTAAGAAAACCTGGACCTAAAATGGCTCAATAGCTTCATGCGATACAGATATGGTTTATTACAGGAAAACCACAATCATAATGATGATGTCGTATTTGAATAGACGGATGTTAAGGATGTTATTTCATATTTATCACACGGCATTTAATGTTTTCAATGCTTTTATTTCTTATGACATCCAGGAAAGACATGTTTTCATTAAAAGCTGTTGTAATGCTTTGTTACTTTTGACATGCAGTTACAATTTTTTAACACCAGATGTCTCCCAGACGTTCACAACCAAGTGTTCACATAGTCCTGAGTCCATCTGGCTCTGGCTATAAGTAGAGATAATATAACACAGCCGGTCAAATGAACTTTGAAAACAGAATTAACCTTTCTAATAGAGCAGATAGGGGTCATTGTGTATGAAATGTTAAGATGAAATTCCACTGTTGCTATGCAACAGAGATTATCAAATGGTCCACCATCACTCACATTTTCATGTCTGAGATATCCTGCAATGCACAAATCGACAGTGTTGAGTTGTGTTGCTCCAAGTATTGTATACGAAATATATAGAGGCAATACGAGTCAGCTTTGTCATCGATGTGACTGTTAATGATATTGTGTGTCATAATTGGACCTTAACTTGTTTTGCTTCACCGATGTGAGGGAAGTGTTTGAGATACTGGTCAACACTGTGAAGGACTCCAAAGGGGAAAGCCACTTCCTGTCCTTGATGCAACATCTGCTGTTGATCCGCAATGACTATTCGGCCAGGTGACGTACACAGTATAATGTTACTCTCTCACACTTACTCAGCTCACGTATTCAGATCTTCACATAGTTAGGTTAACGTAATTTTGTTTCGTGATACTGAACACTGGGACAGACTTCCTTTTTGGGTAATAAAACAAGTATTTTTTTCCATTTAAGTTAAATGAAAACAGTAATGGCTGTGTTTGATCATCTCATCACTTCACACTATTGTAGAAGCTACAAAACCCCACAAATACTATATACTTTTCACAGCCTATATGACGACACATCACATGTCACACAAATAACAATCACTATAGAGGTGGACAGAAGACAACTGCATGAAGTTGCCATGCAGTTCCTACATAGTGGTTGTGCAGTTTTAGAAATAAAACCAAAATAACCATGACAAAAGGAGGAAGGAAAAAATGTCCTCAAATTTTTTTGTTGCCTCACTTCATCCACCTCTTCCTGCGCTTATCCCCTTCCCTTCATTTGCTGTTTGTTGTCTAGAACCCCATTTCTGAGCCGTGAAATTAATACATGCAAAGAAGTCCAATTCCATTTTAATAGAAATGAGCACAATCACCTTATCACCAGAAAATGCTAATGTCTCTCCCTGTGTCTTCCACCGCCCTTGGTGGTTTAGTTATGGAAAAATATAGGGGAAGGAAGAAAGAATGACTGAATGACGAGATGAGAGTAGATTGTGTTGGCACATTTACACACAGTCGGTCCACTTTCACACATAACATTAAAAGGACGAATAGTTTTCTTGATGTAGCATTACAGCAAAAGGATGGAAAGTACAACAATTTGTGCGGACATGCACATATTAGGATTGTGTTAGTCATGGAGTCCGCTGTTGTCTTGGTGGTTTCACACAGGCAGGAAACTGGTTTATTTTTAGCATTGTTTGGGGAATAAATTGTGAGGATGAAAAAGGTAGGCTGGCCTAAACAGCCGGTCCCAGCTGAAGTATTCCCCCCCTTCCTCTATCACTTCCGTCCTTTCCTTTCTCTAATCCAGCTTTCCCCATCCAGGTGATCCAGTGGAACACAATAGAGGTGGTCTGTAATGGACTCCGCCGAGAGAGACAGGAAGTAGGGGTGGGAGGGGGAGCTGCAGAATGGCAGAAAATACTGCTTGGTAATTACAGAGATGAAAAGAGAAGGGAGGCGGAGGGGGAGACAATAATGAAAAAGAAATTGAGAGTTGAGGTAAATTGCTAGGTAGATGCTGAGAGACTGAGGGAGGTTTGTACATGGAATGGAAGAGTTGGCATTTGTGTCATAATGAATGATCGACTACCTGCTGCATGATTCTTTTTTCAGTTTTGCTGTCGATGTATTTCAATTTCAAGTTGAGATGGAGTAACAAATGCATACATATAAATGGTCAAACTTGGAGCCATGTGCAGACTATGGATTATCTCAGTCTGTAAAGGGCTTTATAGATGAAGACAAATCTGACTGATTTGTATATGTAGTTTAGGATTTTTTTAAATTTCTTCCAACCACATTATTTACAATATAAATGAAAAATATAACTATCTAAATTTGATACATTCAGGATTTTAATGTGTTTTCATGAGGATTTAGGATTTAGTCAATTCATAAATTTTTCACTTTGACTCACTGCCACTAGATGTCTCTCTTGCTCCACAAATGAATCTGTTGAATTGCTTGAAGGATTGGAATAAGTGTAAGTAAGAGACAGGGTGACTAAGAGAGACGAGGAAAATAGGAAGGGGGGGGCAGACAGAATAAATAAAGTATTGAGTTTGTGACTCTGGCTGCATCTAATGGGGTCAGGGAATAAGACACCTCCAAAATTGAGTGTCTGTGTGAAGCCCGCTTGATCAGACAGGGCGCTGGGCACACACCAACACACTCTCACGAGCACAGTTGCACACAATCAATCTTTGTGACAAGAAACTCAAACTGTCATGCTGGCCCAGACAGCCAATCTCAGTTACAAAGACGGAATGACAGAGCATGAGTGTTCCCACATTTATCTGAACAAATGAACCTACTTGCTCTTTCAGTCAGTCCCATACTCTACTCACATATGAGCCAGATTTCTTGTTAATGTAGAATATACTGTTATATTTACTATTGTGCAACTGGTGGGGCTTTTTTTCCCCAAGCACCACATATAAGTTACCCTCCCTCCTTTCTTCCCCATGTCTCTCTCCATTTCTTTCTCTCCATCTCCCACTCCATCCCTCTGTGTCACACCCTCCTCCCCACAGGCCTCAGTACTACAAGTTGATAGACGAGTGTATCGCTCAGATCGTGCTTCACAGGAATGGAGCTGACCCTGACTTTAAGTGCCGTAACCTTAGCCTCAACATTGAAGCCTTGATAGGTGAGTTGTTGTGACCAGAACAAACACATGTGATACAGTCTTTACTGTCCTCTGTCGAGATGCCCATCACCTGTGTATATATCAATGTGTGTATGTGTATACACAGTAGACACACAGGCTTGAAGTATCAAACATTGTCGTGCAGTACTGTGACTTTCGCACCATATTTCATTACCCCACTCCAATCACTGACAAAACTACTGTGATGCTGTCAATTGCAATAAGCCTCTGTGTGATTTAATTAAAGTAAATTTGGCCATAATACATGTGCAGTGGCCCAGAATCACCACGGGGTTGTGCCAGAGAGGGAACACACGTTGATGTGGGCTAAATCTATCTACAGGTTTATAGACATTTATCTGTGTTATGAAATAAACGGTATCACAAAAAAAAAAGATTTGGCAAATTAAGAAATCCCTGAATCTGATTTCAAAATATTTTGGGCAATATTTAAAATCTCTTCAAGCAACAGTAGTGTCGCAGACTTTTCTTTACTGATCAGATCATGTCCACCACTGAGCCATGTCGTCTCCTGTCCCTCTCTGTTGAATACAAACATCAAATGCTGCATTTTCATCAAGCGTCTTGGTGAAAAGTGGTACACATAGATCTTGTGAACATGAGTGACATCTCTAAATGTCGACTCGCAAACACCTGCTGACTATTAAACTAAACCAGAGCAGAGTTGGAGGTGTATAGGCCACGTCTCAGGAGTTCAATACTCCTTTATGGCAGGTCTCCGTTGCTCACCACAGGAGGCTCTAATTGCGCTGCTTCTAAATGTGTCCTGACACACACACACACAGGCTGGCTGGCCTGCTTTAAGACTGCCAGAGTTATTATCGGTGGAAAGCAGCCCAATTCTGCCCCGCATGCATTATTTAGTGTTTTTCTTTGAACTCTGAAATTCAGCACAGTTTTTCCCCCACATTCTGTCTCCCTTAGTGCTCTCTCTTCGAAGTTTGTCCCATTTAGCCCAACCACCATGACAGAAGTAACACCCCCCCCACTATTACGCATCCAAAAACCGTGTGCCATCTACTCATACACAAAATGCACACTCTGAAATTGTATGTGGGTTGGCATTTTATTGTGAGGTGCTTTCATCCGACAAAACCTCCTCTTTCACAAAATAGAGTTTTCCTTTTGCTCTGGCTTCCTTACAAACTCATCTAGATATACAGAACCTGGCATAGCTTCAACTTCTTTTTTCCAATAGCAATATTTTAATTGCAGCTGAAGACTCACACTTTATGTCACTATCTGTATGATTCACTTTTCTGTGAGTTTATGTACTTTCTTTATTTTCTGTTTTAGCTTTTCACAGCCCTACTGTCTCCACGATCTATCTGCTTGATCCCCCTCCTGGGCAGCATGATTAGCCGTCTTTGATCCACTGACTTTGTGCTATTCATCTTCATGTTAATTAGCTCCTTTACTGCCCATGCTCGCTAAGCCCTTTGGCTCTGAACCACCTGTAGACCCCACATTTATTCAGGGAAAGTATCCCATTGGTCAGCCTGTGTCCTTATCACCCTGTCCTCCATCAGGCAGAATCTCTGATAATGGGATTACTCCCATACTGTTGTATAGTCATTCTTGTATTTTTTATTTTTTTGAAAAAGAATGGGTGGAATATAAGACTTTCAAAAAGTGGTGTCAGATGAATTTCTCTCCCTCATGTCCTCCACACAAATACTCAGACAATGGTCTGTAAAGGTAATGATGTGTAGAAGAAGCATGCAAAAGATAGCATCCTATTGTAACGAGATGCCTCCACAATGCCCTCACAGTTCTTGACTTTGAGTCATGAGATAAGGAAAAAGAGGGACATAGGATACCTTCTCTATGTGTCTGTTTGTGAATATGTGTGCACGCAGCATGTGCCAGACTGAAGGGTACAATGTCTTCACAGCCAGACGTGCAGAGCAGCGGTGTCTGAAACCCTTTTCTTACCCACCTCCCTTTTTTTCCTCTTTTTCTTTCTCCTGTCTTTTGTCCACAGACAACATGGTGGACCAGACCAAGGTGGAAACCAGTGAGGCCAAGGCCACTGAGTTGGGGAAGAAGGTGAAACACACTTGCACAGAAGAACAGCATGACATACACACAGACATATATATCTTTCAATCCAGAAGCACACAAGCTTTTACAATCATATGGACACAAGGAAAAAAAACCATACATTTCCCCCTGATACACACTGACACTCTACAATCATAATGAAATTCTATGGAACCAGTGTCTGGATGACAAATGAGAAAAAAGAAGAAACTGGGGGTGAGAGAATGAGCATACACATGTCTGACAGCCAACCCACAGACACATTTTACTGGCTAGCAAAACACACAACACACACACACACACATTCACACAAGGGGGTAAATGCCTTGATTGCGGCATGCTGCTACTCTGATGTTTCTGTCCGAGTGACAGGATAATTGCCAAGAGGGAGGTAAAACTAGCGTTCATCCTGGCACACATAAAGACACGCACACTCACACAGGATCATATCCACATGCTTACGTCCACACAAATACACATCGCATGAACACACTTGGATTCATTTTTGTTGACCACACGCACACCATAGTGCTAGTTGTGCATGATGGGGTAATTGCAGGCAGTCTCTTTGGCAGGAATTAAGGATGAGGCTGTCAGGACACTGACAGCGAGAGTAAAGGATCTGCTGTCGGCAAATTAAACAGCCATGTGTGTCTGTCTGTTCATGTATTCATCCGTTTAAATACTCTTAGCCTGTTTGTCATATAAAAAATCCACGAAAAATTTAATGGAAGTTAGAAAATTAAACACTAAGATGAAAATGGTTCTCCTGCTACTTTTTTCATTTTGGATGTGAAGTCTTTAAAAAAGCGAAGTGAGCTCATACAAGTGCACTGAAGCAGTCTAACTCAATAATTGACACTAATTTGCAGTGTAAATTATACAATGAAATTGAAAGCACCAATCTGCAGGAAATGGCTTTCACAGGTCTTTGAGATATGGAAACTGCTGCAGCTTCAAACGAGAGGCTGAAGGCTTACGCATACACACACACTTTGCTCCAATATCTCAGCAGAGAACCAGGGTTTCGGAAGCTTCAGGATTTTAATGTATTTACTTTGTGTTGTAAAATCCTTAAATGACTTGTTTATGAAACAACTTAGTTTTTAAAGACTTTTTAGCTCAACCTTATTCTAACCTCATTTTATCCAGCCTTTATTTTATAACAAGGCTTGTTTGACAGAAAAATCATTTTATATTCTCACGTCATGATGTCAAGCAGAGAATTGTCTTTTTAAAACATTGCTATCGTAATTTATGTTATCATTCTTCGGTGTTGAATTCATGCTTAGAATAATTTTAAATTTTCAGGCAATCCAAAAAACATTATATTTCTGTGCACACTACTTTACAATGTTTTATTTACTCAGTTATGTCTGTCGCCCATCCTGAGGTTCTCCTAATGAAGGGGAAGAGATTTGTTTACCAGGTGGATGTGGTTGTCACTGGTGGTACTGCATCAGCAAAAGTTGCACACAATTAATTGAATATTCAGGACACAAACATACCAGACATGCCACTTTCAACTAAGTGGCACAGTATCTATTTTTTAGCACCTTCGTGAAATCTAAAAAGAAACAACAACATTGTGTTCTGCCCACAACATCATGCCAATTGGAAGTGACTTCCACAGAACTTTCACCAAAAACTGTTCCCACCACTTTTTTAGGAACTGTACCTGAGTCTGTTTCTCTCTCTATCTCTATTTTCGTGCGCATTAGCTGGATGCAGAGTTGACAGCGCGCCACGAGTTGCAGGTGGAGCTGAAGAAACTGGAGGGCGACTACGAGCAGAAGCTGCGGGACCTGAGCCAAGAGAAAGAACAGCTGGCCTCTTCTAAGCAGGAACGAGAGAAGGAGAATCAGGGACTACAACAACAGCTAAACACTCTGAAACAGCAGGTACAAACAAACATATACGGACACCCACCTGTCTGTTTGTGCCTTAATGCCTTTTTAATTCAAATATCACAAAATCTAATAGTGATTGCAATTAATATTTTACAAGTCAACAAGGTTAATTTGAAAACATATTTATAGAAGTTCTAAATGTGTGAATCAATTTTAACATGACAATTTTTTGCCTGAGTCTAAAAGAAATGCACCCCAATTAAAGAGCTTACTATTTTTCAAGTTGTTTTTGGTCTCCTGTTAAAGATAACTTTCAGAATCAGTATATGAGAAGCTGAAACAAAATGACAGAAACACCAACATACACTTCCTTTTTCCGACTTGCCTGTTATTGTTATGAAAAGGAAACGTAATGCTTGTAGTAGTGCCTCCAAAGTGTGGAAAACACTTTGCCATAGTCACAAGTCTGAGTCTGAGCACCAAAAACTCTCCAACATCTATGCACACACCCACACAAACCGCAGAAGGCTCCTGGCCTTAAGTACTAGCATGGCATGAAAAGAAGGAGAAAAAAGTCTGGAAAAAATATTGTGAGAAGAGGCCAAATCTTTCAGAGATTAAGAATCTCAATAAAAACATGGAGAGTTGGGAAATGGGAGTAGAAAGAAATAAGAAGAAAGGGAGAAGATAGAGAAGGGACAAACTGATTTTTTTAAGGCCAAGATACACATGTTGTGAGTGTGTGTGTGTGTGTGTGTGTGTGTGTGTGTGTGTGCGTGCGTGCATGTGCGTGCACACGCATATAGTCGCGAGGCAAAGATGAGGATTGTTTAGCTGTCAGTGTCCTGCTGCCGCACCAGCTGGACTCTGCCTCACAGTGACACCCCAACTCACAAACAGACCAAGTGACCCAGAACCGTCTGTGTGTGTACATTTGTGTATTTGTTTCTGTCAGCAGGAGAACTACACTGCTCCAAAATGAGCTTCATCCAAAGTGGCTAATGCCAGCAGAGTCATCTTATCAACACGAAACGTTTACACACACACAGACATGGACACATATGCACATGCAGTTGTCCAAAGCATCAACAGCATCACGAGGCAGGCATCAAACAAGCTTCTCATTCTAAGATGGCTCACTTTCTGTGTGTTTGAGGCACTGCCCATCGAAGATTTCTTCACATGTAGAGATCTCTCACTGTTTGGCTGTATGATGTTGTGCCCAACTCTTCATCTGCCGCCTCACTAAGAAAGCCCGCCTCCGAGGCCCTTCATGCCTGTTACTGTCTTCTTTTCAAAGTTAGAGGAAACGGCACAATTTGTTATGCTGCATACACTCGCACCATGCTGATAACACTTTACACACCTTAGAAGACGTACACCAAATAAACTTCTCTATACATTCACAGAACTAACCAGTGTTAGTGATCAGATGCTGTTTGGTTGTGGATACATCTTCAGTGAAAACCACTGCACACTTCACTGTGAAGTCACTTCTTTAGGTTTGAGGTGTAAAACTTAAGAAGATACAGGCAAAACATGTTAGACGCTTTAAATAAAGCTCTCTGAGAAGTCCTTTCAGTAAATTTTCATCTTCTAGATACATACTCTTTAAATCACATAAAATATTCCCCCTCAACTCTCCGTCTTCTCTCACAGCCCAATATTAGCTGACTAAATTAAATGAGTTGGACCATTTTCTCAGGAATTGTTGCCTCACTGATATAAATACTTTAATCATTATTTCAATGTTGAAATAAAAAATTGATTTCACACTCACTCTTAATGTGAAAATGTGTCTTCCTCTTTAAAACCTCTTCTTCCTCTGTGGACTTAATTCCCCCCTGCTATGTTTTTTTTTCTCTCAATGCCTTGTTCTCCATTCTCTCCCCAAACTCAGTCCTGCCCAGGCTTTAATCCCTCTCACTGTTTCCTCTTTACCACCTCTTTGTTCTTTTTTTCCTCTCAAACCTAATCACTCTGTTGGCATGGCTGTTCACTGGTGGAAATTGCCAAACAAAATGAATGTCAATTCAAAAAATAAACAGCAACCAACAGTCAAGACATGCTAGTATGATAAATGACTGTGTATGTTGTTCAACATACATATATTAATGTTGATCTATTGTGTTCTTACTTCCCCACAGATTGAAACGCTGTCTAAGGATCTGGAAGAGGCCAAGACTAAAGTTATCACAGTGACTGTTCCCGTGCCAACACCTGGTTTGCCCCCTCCACCACCCGCCCCTCCTCTCCCTGGTCAGAATGTCGGTATGCCCCCTCCACCTCCACCCCTTCCTCCACCTCTACCAGGGCATGCATGCATACCTGTTCCCCCACCGCCTCCTCCTTTACCAGGTCAAGCCCATATTCCTCCACCACCTCCTTTGCCTGGCATGCCAGGACCTCCACCACCCCCGCCCCTTCCTGGCATGCCAGGTCCACCGCCTCCTCCACCCTTACCTGGGATGGGACCTCCACCACCACCGCCCCCACCTGGGTTCCCTGGTATCCCTCCACCACCCCCAGGCCCAGGCATGCCTCCACCACCACCGTTTGGCATGGGAGGATGGGGTGCACCTGCTCCACCTTCTCTGCCTTTTGGGCTCGAACCGAAGAAGGATTACAAGCCTGAGGTCCAGCTGAAGAGAGCCAACTGGAGCAAGGTCAGTGCTCGAATAAATCACCAATATTTTATGCTTCAAAATTACTTTTATCTTTTTATGGGAAATGATTTTGGTGGCATGTATAGTTTGAAATGTCTCCATGTGTTGTAGTTCTTTCTCAGTGATATAGATATTAGCACATTGTAATAACTACAAATAAAACCAACGTTTACAAACAAATTAGGGGAAGTGCAGGGACTCTGATATTCCTTCATATTTATCATTATCAACATAGTTCTAAATTTCATTAATTAGGGTTGTACAAAGGTCTTAAGAAGTCTTAAATTGAACTCATTTGACTATAGTTTTAATGCCAAAAATCTCATCACTGTTAAAAATGAATCTCATTTTCAGCTGATTTAACACATCATTTTTGGGCTTCTCGTTATCACACAAATGTAACACTCGCATTGAAACAGATAATGATTTCATTGTAAATAATTCAAACCTAATTTAAAGTTTGCATGGTGAAGTTTGAAGATGCAATATGGAATAGCTCAGGGTGGGCTTTTGTGCGAGATAGATCTTTAACAGTGAGATGGTGAACTAAAGTGACTTGCATGCATACGTGTATCTCATGACAATGTGCTTCATGTTCTTCCCCTCCCTCTCATCTGTGATGGTTAAAACATCAAAACTGCCCTCTGTCTTTCTTTAGCCTAAAGCTACTGTTTAATGGCTTCAGCAGACTTCATCAGCATTTACTCTCTCTCTCTCTCCCCCTCTCTCCCTCTCTGTCTCTGTCTCTCCCTCCCTCTCTTGCTGGTGAGTGTTTGACGAGGATGTCACAGAAATTGCTTTTTAATAAGCCTTCTTCTTTTAACTGCACCACTGAAAGATAATTAAATTGCTGCTAGAAAGGACAGTGTTCTTTTGTAATTTAAATTAACTTTTTTTTTTATGGCCTGGTCTCTTTCTTTCTTTCTTCCTCTTTCAGCTCATCCCAATATCACATTTCCTTTCCCTGCTCTCTGTCTTTTCCATCCTACGTCCCCACCCCTGAGGCTTTGTCCATAATGAAAGGCCTGATATCTGTAAATTTACTACCACTGCTTTCTCATTCGCTCTCTTGGTTTCACTTTCTCTCTTTGTCTTTTCCCTTCGATGAGAACACTCAGAAAGTGGAGGGAAAAAAAAGATGAAGTTAATTGTGACTTGTGACTAGAATAGAGAAAGAGTGCAACACCAAGACATGGAGAGTTTTACAGAGAGAGCAGCTGAGAATGAGTGAAGGAAGAAACAAGATGGGAGGAAAGGGAGTGGAAACCCCTCTGTATCTTTGCATTTTTGTGCTTGAAGCTCTAAAGCTCAATATGCTTTGTGGTAGAGACACTGTGAAGAAGATTAGAGAAAATGACTCTTGCTTTTATCCATCCTTCCTTCCTTCTTCCATCCTCATCCCGTCCCTCTACCACCACACTGCTGCCTCTCCCTATAACAGCCTGTTGTTTCTTTTGTTCTCTCAGCTTCTGCTCATTTCATTGTTTGCTGTACAGATCACCATTTTTGTAAAATTGATCAATTTTGATGATACATCTACCTCAAAGAAACGATACATCTGTCTTTTTAACTCTATCTATTTTCTCCCTCTCTCTGTATATACTGGTTTTCTCTCTTAGATTGGACCTGAAGACCTCTCTGAGAATAGTTTCTGGACCAAGGCAAAAGAGGACAAATTTGAAAGCAATGAGCTTTTTGCCAAACTCACCTTGTCCTTTTCCTCACAGACAAAAAGTGAGTGTGTTTTTTTTTTTCCAACTTTTTTGGTTCATGTTGTGTCTCACAGTAATAAGCAAAGTCTCTCTCTGCCTCTCACCTCCCTATCCCTCTCACCCGAACTCCACGTCTATTTCAATCATCCTGCCTTTGCTTCCATCAGCCACTAAAGGTAAGAATATCACACACACACTTCCATTTAGTTTGTTGTTTCTCACATCTTCTCCAGCCCTTTTCGCCCTTCTCTTCCTCTGCTCGGATTACACGATGCACATTTACATTATGCAGCAATGCTGTGTCAAAACAGACACTCCGTGAGTTCATGAATAAACCACCCACACCTGTGTTTGTGTTCATCTTCTCGAGTTTGCCCATGACTTGTTGTGCAGAGACGACGCGCTCACATCCGGGTGAGATGAATTGGGACTTGGGGGATGGAGGGAGAGATGGATAGAGGGATAAGGAGAAGGTCACCGATGTCCTTTGACTAGCCACCTGCTGTCCTGGCACAAAGCGCTGACACACGGGCATACGCTCACATACACACACCTGTCCACTCCTATCACCTTGTCCCGGTGTCACTGAGCCTTCTGCTCTAACTTCTCCATATTCATATCACAACCAGGATACCAGGAATATCTCAGACAGACAGTGCATGTGGGTGTGTATATAATTCCATCTGACCTTCAGATTTAGTCGCACTCCCCATCGACACACACACACACACACACACACACACACACACACACACACACACACACACACACACACACACACACACACACACACAGCATTTGTCATATACATAAACAGACTACGCAGGCACACATGGCTGATGCTAGCTGTAGATGTCACCTAAATGTCAGTGTTGGCAGCTATCCCATCTGCATTCACCTGTATGGCAAGTCCTAACTTCCGCTTGTCACTCCTTAATTTGACCCCCCACCCCCTTGGCCTGTGCACCCACGCTTTCCCTTTATTGGCTGAGACAGCCGCCTGTTCCGGTTGATGTCTAATAACCTTTTCTGAGAGCTCACTATAAAGGCACTGTGGCCTTTTCATAGCCCCACACCTGTCTGTTTGTCTGCCTGTGTGGATGTACTGAATGAGAAGGAGAGAGACAGAGATTCGCCAAGTGTGTATTACTCTGTATGTGTTGTTGATTTCCTGTGTGTGTTTTGAATGTGTTGTAATCTGTTAGTTTGGAGTAAAACACTGAAGCAGAATTGGGATTTTGTTTAGCTGTTGTGGATGCATTTAAGTTTTGCGTGTGTGCTTGTGAATACTCATGTGTGGTTTGATCTGCACTGTGTCTAAAGTGTGTATACTGTACATGCATGTGTGTCTGTGGCAGCCCATACACATATTCATATAAGCTACCAGCTGCAGATTGACCATTGACCCCTCGTCCTTCCTTCTCTTGCTTAAACACACTGCTCAAGGCCTAATACATTCCTTCTGACCTCCTTATCTTATCCTTATCCCTCACCTCTGGGAGCCTGGCTTCACTCTTCCTCATCCTACTCCTCCTCCTACTCCTCCTCTTGCGCCTCCCATTCCTTGTTACCCAGCAAAAGAAGACCGACACCACACCGAGTCTCCGCTAACCCTCTGTGACCCTTCCTCCTCCTCTGCATTGCCTGCCCAGCAGCGCAACTGGGGTTGCATGCACACACACACATACCTACACAAAAAACACACTTTCGGGGGGGTGGCAGGCTGAGGACAGGGTCAGGGGTGTTGACCTCTGAGGCTTGGTGGAAGAGCAGAGAGCTGATGGTGGGAGACACACCCTCTGGCTGCAAATGGCTCTCATGGACATAATTACACACTCTGACACACACACACACTGAGAGACTGCACATATATTCCATCCTTTTATCTCTGTAGTTATTTCCGTTTTCAGTCTCTGTATCTGTTTATCAAGCTCAGGCCAGTTATCCTTTATGCTGCTGATACTCTCCAGCTACTTAGCAAGTTTTTCCCACAATCCAATCAAATGGAAGAGATTATGATAATAACATTTATCGCTTGTATTAATTGAAGTGATATTTTTTATGTTAGGATGAATTTTCGCCAAGTAGAGCAGACTTTGTAAAATCCTATTTAACAGTAGAAATCTCCCAAGGCCCCTGACATTTACAATCAGTTATTAGCATTAACTTTGTTTATGTACATGTTAATTTACATGTCAATTATTCTATATCACCATCTACAGCAAATTTATTAGAGAGCATTTCCTTTATATTTCTTTAATTGTGTGATATTAGGTTGGTTACGTATTTGTTTTTAGATGTATACATCTGTAGTATTTTAGCTTTCGCACATACATGCACACACACAAATTCTTGTACTTCCATCTTAGTAAAGATACTCATCGGCATAATTCGTTCTGAGCACTGCATTTTTCTTAACCTAACCTTGTCCTAATTGTAACCTTATCCTTAAGAACAAGTCATAACCCTCAAATAGGCCTTTGAAAAAGTGAAGACCGGCCAAAATGTCCTTACTCTGTAAGGTCTGTGTTCAAAATGGTCCTCACAAATATGTAAGTGCAAGTGCACACAAACACACACTCATTCAGACCTTTGTCTGTCAAATAAAACTATTTCAGCATTGAACCTTTTTGGCTGCATGTTTTCAACAGTGGTTCTGAGGTCATGCAAAGCAATAACATGAACTATTGGAGAAAAGCTCCACCTTTGCTGATTTATTCCAGTCCTTCTTTACCTCAAGACTTTTCACCTTTCCTCCTCTCAAACTGCTCGACCTGCCTGCTAAACAACCATTGCAGTCAAGGTCAGCACTAGTTGGACTGCGCTGCCGAACATCTTATTCACTCAGATTGAAATATAAAACTCCGATATCAACATGGTAAATTAGAAATATTCATTTTTAATGCCAGTCAATAAATTGAGTTAGATTTTCACAGTCAAGGTTTCCAGAAGCTGCACCACCTCTGGGAACTGTTGGGGTCTTGCTTGCAGGCTGCCTGCTAGTTTTCTCAATGTGGTCCACTCAGCATATCCATTTGTGTAATATTGATAAACCATATTGAGGTTGAAGGTACATTTTAAGTGGTGGGTGTTTTAGTTTTATCAAACCACTGCCTTTTGAATAGAAAATATGTGATGATATATTAATAAGACTGCATGCAGGGTTTTTTTTATTACACAAGTACGCTTTTGAATGAAGTTGAACTGATGCCCAGCCTGAGATTATAGCAAGCTGTACATCTGTGAATGTCTGTTTGATATGATTACAAACAATCTATTTTAGCCTCCATCTAGAGCCTTCACAGCAATTATGTGTTAATGTGACTCCAAATTCCACTGCAATTTTCGTGGTGGAGAGACCATTCTATTATTTATTTTCCCATCATTGTGAATGCAAGGGCTTAGTGTTGGCAACGTGATATAACTATTTGCAATTGCAGACACAGTAGTGACATGAGCAAGTGTGTGTTGCTGTAAAGTAGTTCAGGCGGCAAGCTTATTCTCACATTTTCTCTCAAGCCACTGGTTCTTAATCCCTCACTTTTAAGTCAGTGTGTTTGTTTTCTGCTTTTTGATATGTTTTCTTCTTCTTTTGATCATAATAATAGTTACATACATAGGTGGACAGAAATGTTTTTTATTCAAAGTTACTCAGTTGTCTTGGAAGTGTAGGACGGCAATGACAAGACTAGAATTTGTCCCTATTTCATCCACTATATATGTATATATATGTTCAAAAATGTTATTTTCTCATTTTTTTGATAAGCAGGTACCTATTAAAGTTGGTATCTCAGATTGGCCAATTAGCAAAAGAATGAGAGAGCATGCCAGAGTTGTATAGAGGAGGAGGTATATGTGGAAAAAACAAGAGTGAGCAGAGGAAAAGACTGGGCTACGGGGAGTTTCGGTGATTAATTTGATTCGGGAGAGAAAAGAAAGAAAAGTGCCAGGAGCATATATGATTATTAATCCTCATAATGGGAAGATAATTTTCATATCCCAATTCTCCATTTCACCCCTCCCCCTTCCTTTGTTTCTGTGGTCTGTTGTAGTGAGGTGACCTTGTTTCCCTTTTCCCCCTCAAAATGCCAAGGAAAGATTTTATGACACCTTCCACAGGGTTTCGCTATGTAACACACCTGCACATGCAACATCACCGTATGGTAACACATGTGCTTCCTGTAAAATATAGACAAATTAATTGCAAATAAATGCATATTTGTCTGTCTGCTGGTTAGATTTTTGGGAGAGTGGGTGGGTGAACTCAGCCACATTTACAAACCAATTATAATAATGATCTCCCTATGTTCTAAAAAATCAATTTCCTTCTCTGTAGGTATTTATGTGAGTGTGGTTGTGGATATTTGTGTATTTGTGTTGCAGACTTTCATCTAACTACTGTGTGCATGCATGCATGTGTGTACACTTATCTGGAGCCTCTCAAGTTGTCTCAGGGAAAGCGATGAGATATAATATATTACCAATGGAAGACCAAGGGGCGCAGTGTTAACATTACTACCTCTCTACGGAGTTGTCAACGTTTCTTGACTTGTTTATTTTGACTTTGCTTTACAGTGCACCGATTCAAGGTCATTGTCATTCAAAGGAGAATTTCTATGCAAATAAAATAAATCAAGTACAGTCCTGCTCTCCAAGCAGGGTTCAGTGTAGATTTACCCTTTGGTCAGTTACAGACCAGATGAATGACTCTCTTTTCTAAATTTGGTGTTGGTCAGAAAGTGGAAGTGAAAGTGCTTTCATTTTAAAATAAATTATTCTGCCATCCACACTTCTGTGGAATTTTAGAGCCCCCAAAACAGAGATGGTTGGAACACTCCTGGACGTATTTTAGTTTAAAATCTGCAGGGCTGCATTCAGTCTGTACAGGCACATACAGAGATGTTCAGAAATAATGAGGTAGACACAACCGCATGAGGAATGTGTTCTTTTCAGTCTTGACGTAGCCTTCCCTGTTATCGACAGGCTCCTATAACATGACCACTTTAAGGCATCAGCCTCAGCTACCAATGTAGTTCATGCATTGTTCATCCCAGTGTACATGAGTAGTCATGTGACATGGCATGATAGTGTGGACAGGGATTTAAACTGATTCAGAGCCAAAACGCTCATGTGGAGAGCAATCCGTACACAGTGGTACGGATGTAGCCTCAGTTAC